AATCATGCTGCATTCCTTTTCAGTGAAGGGCCTCTAAAAATTAGATACGCTTCTTGAAATCAGCTAGGGGAGTGGCACTTCGGATGATACTAATGTGCAGGTTCACAGGCCCCCAGCAATAGCCTTGGTGGCTGGGCTAAAGGGTTGCTAAATGTTCCTGAGTTTTATTCCCACCATGCCACTTCCCACCTGTCTTTCTTGCCTACTGGCCAAGAAGAATTCACTTCTCCCTTCTCCATACTGCAGCTAGTTGGGGGCCACATCCTCCTTACCTCGCTTCATTGTTGCACTCAAGTCGGCGAGGTTAGACCCTTGTGTCTGTGTGCAGAGCTTCATTGGAGCCAGTGGGGCTGCACACAGACACAAGGGTCTGTCCACACATCTGCCAGGTCCCTTTTCCACGGAGTTAATGGCACTGCTCATGTAAGGGGGGCAGACTTGGCTCAGAAGAACATTATGGGCTAGATTGCAGTATTTACACCACAGCCCTGTGTAGAGGGGGTGTTACATGATTCCAGGATGAGCTGCAGGGAGATTGTGTCTCAAGCAGCCATATGTAGGTTGCCAGGTGTCCGGTTTTGAACCGGACAGCCCAGTATTTGAGCTTTCTGTTTGGGAAACAAATTGGGAAAATATAAATGAGAAACTATAAATGTCTGGTATTTTCTAAATAAGATGGAATGTAGATTGTGATGTCATGTCCAGTGTGTCCGGTATTTTTGTTGAAACCATCTGGCAACCCTAGGCATACTCTCCGTAGGGCTTCTTCGTGTGCACAAGTGGAGCACAAACATGGAAAGCACAAGCACAAGTATGCTGTGTCAACACCAAATGCTGGTTAGAAGGGGGTGAGGCCAGAATCTTGCCTCTTCCTTGGTGTCTTGCTCCCCAGAAGGAGAAATAGGGGCAAAACAGTCCCTGTTTCTGCGGGAAGCCTCTGCCCAGCAGCACAAGGGGGTAAGGTTTCTTGTGTGGCTCCCTCATCTGGCACTGTTTCACTCCAGCCCTGTATGACACACGAAGCATGCCTTGCAAAGTTTTCATGGGGCACTGTGTCAGGGAAGAGAATGTGTGTTGGAAAGCAAAAGTACAGACTATCAAGTCCTTCTGCCTAAAAATGTAGGGAATTTGCTCCTTCATTACCACCTCACAGTACACGTTGTTTAAACCAAATCCTTCCAGGCCCAAGAGAACAAATGCTGCATTTATTCTGTGTCTTTGGGGTAAACAAGCCAAAACAAATGGAGCGCAAAGAAGCTAGGAGGGCCAAGTTTTATTATTTAATTATTCAGGAATGAAAGATTTAGTTCAATTTTTTTAAAGATGTAATAATAACCCCACACTTCTTACTAGAGCTGACCCCTTTTAAAGTTTGCCTCGATGATTTGCTCAAATGATTTTAAGTCAGCTACCCTGAATCTTTTTTACAAGGGTCTCCCTCTGTAAAGGGGGCAATTTGGAAGGGAGTGAAATATTGCACAGAAGAACTCCTCACATACAATGTGATCTTGAATGGGAGTCTCTGATCCATTGAACAAAATTAAAATCTTCAGATCAATTTCTACTCTTAGACAGACTGGCACAAACCCTCATGGAGACAATGCATCTGCATTGGCATAACTGAGAGTAAAGACCAGCATCACATAAAGACTGACAAAACTATAAGACTACTTCCTGCTTAGAAAATCTTCTTTGTGATATCTTGTGATTATTCAACTTAAACCACAAAGTCAATAATTTTTAATGTACGATGGCATCATGTTGCCAAACCATGTAGGAGTTCGATTTCCTAACATGATTTTGAGGAAAGTGTTTTTCTAAGTGGTGAACGTGCATAGCTGAACAAACTGGGGCAGATTTGCTTCTGCACTGAGATTTGGTCAGCCCATTATGACTTCCTGATTCTTTACCCCAGACTGTGCCAGCCACACTTGGGAAGCCTCAAGTATGATCTTCAGCAGTGCTGAGTGCCTGTTGTTGACGGCAGGTACTAAGGATCTCTGAAAATCAAGCCCCAGGTGTCAAACTGAGCATTCAGAAAAGAAAACCTCCCCAAATCATTAACCATTATTGAAAATGTTGGTCCTACGATTTAGAATTTGCACAATTAGCTTATTCCTAATAAAATCTTGATAACTTGATGTGAATGAAGATGTAGACAGAGTGAATATTATATAGCCACTTTATGTATTTCCCAGGGGCCAATGGTATCCAAAACCCAATTAGTAGTACAACATAGCACTCACTCAGCACTTCACAAACTAATTAATATTAATAATACCTCTGTGAGGAGGAAGGGAGGTAAATGTTATCAACCCAGTTTTACAGATGGGAAAGTTGAGGCATAGAAAAGTGAAGTGATTTGCCCAAGGTCACACACCACAGCCGGAATCACCACAGTCAGGTCTCCTGACTCCAAGCCAGCCACTCTGAGACCATGATGATGGGAGTAGCATAAGAACCTGAATAGAACAGGAAAAGTCCCACACTCAGGGCTTGTCTCCACTTATCAGAAGATCAATCTCCCAGGGTTCACTTTATTAGGTCTAGTAAGGACCCGCTAAATCAACCACTGATATTGCCCATCCACTCATGCATGCCACATGGTGGTGAGAAATAAGGGAAATCAATGGAAGAGTTTCTCTCTTCAACTTCCCAGAGTGGGGATGCTGTGGAAATTCAACCTAAGGTACTTCGACTCCACTATACACATAGCTGGAGTTGTGTATCTTAGATTGACTTTCTCCCATTGTGTAGACCTTGCTTCAGGCCACTATGTCACACTGTTCATTATGCTCCCTGCAGAAATTAGGTTCATCAGTCCACATTCATCTGTCCTAAAGGGTGAGGTGGGGGAACATGAGAGACCTCTTTAAATCCCAGTAAAGCACTGAGTTCATGAATAATGTAGTTACCACACTGTCACAAATAGGAAATGTATCATTCTGTAATTAAATATAGTGAATTCTAATAGTCACAAGACACTAGGGGGTGCGTCTAGACTGGCAAGATTTTGCAGAAATATTTTTAATGGAAAAGTTTTTCCGTTAAAAGTATTTCCGCAAAAGCACGTCTAGATTGGCACGGATGCTTTTGCGCAAAAAGTGCTTTTGCGCAAAAGCATCCGTGGCCAGTCTAGACGCGATTTTGCGCAAGAAAGCCCCAATCGCCATTTTAGCCATCGGGGCTTTTTTGCGCAAAACAGTTCTTCCCTGTCTACACTGGCCCTCTTGCGCACGTATTCTTGCGCAAGAGGGCTTTTTCCCGAGCGGGAGCGTGAAAGTATTTGCGCAAGAAGCACTGATTTTGTACATTACAAAGTCAGTGCTCTTGCGCAAATTCAAGCGGCCAGTGTAGACAGCTGGCAAGTTTTTGCGCAAAAGGAACTACTTTTGCGCAAAATCTTGCCAAACGGGACGAACCCTAGGGGTTGTGATTTCCTTAGTCAAGGGGTAGCTTTGTAATTCTGTTGTTCACATAGATGCAGCAGCATTAAGGTCTCCGTTCTGCAGATTTGTACTAGTACAACAGAACAGAATGGGTTCAAGAGATTTTATTTTGTGGTGCTAGGACTCCCTTACAGCATCATATTCTGCAAGCAAGAACTCTCCATGTGAGTAGGTGTTAGCTATTTGGGCCTCTAAAATAAGCAATAAACGCCCTTCTGAGTCACTCAATTAGCTTATGTCATTATATTTGTAAGGAAGAATTCAAAACACTTGCTATAAGACACAGGTAAGAGAATAGTAAATTATCTAATACTTTGTAGCATCAAATACACAGTGAGGGCCTAATCCTGCAGATCCCCTTACCATTCAATGAGAATTTTGCCTCCATAAGATCTGAAAGATCAGGCCATTGATCTATAAAATTACTTAAAAGCCCTTGACTGTGGAATGTAAAAAAATGTAGCAACAAATATTTATTTGGCAGGGATGCACTTTTACAAAGGCACAGTGGATCTTAGAATAATTTTGAATCGAGACAAAAAATACCCTCAAAATAAGTATAAACAAAAATAAAAATGTAAACAAACAATAAATTAATCTGTCTCAGAAAAAGACCTAACCTACTTATCAGAACCAGTTCCTGCTCCCATTAAAGTCAACAGCTTGAACACTGACTTCCACAGAAGCAAGATTGGTGCCCAAAATCTGGGAATGTAAAAAAAGGCAAGGAGGTGTCTTATTGCCTGCATTACATCTCCCCTCTCTGTCAGCACAGATCTGTAGGGGCCCATAAACAGAGAGTGGGATCATTAGAGGGGTCTAATGGTTCTGTAACTGAGCCACCCAATTGTGAAGCCAACCATTTGAAAATAAAATGTATCAAGTTGTTCAAATGAAATGGCAGGTTGCTCCTGATGTTCAGAAACCTCAGCTTCCAACCCCTCCTGCCCTGGGAGCTGATTCAGAGCAAGTACAGGCAAAGCAAGAAAAAAGTAAGATCTCGGGGTCTTGCCTTCTACCAAGCTCTACAGCCAGGGACAGCATGATCCCAGAGAGCAAACATCTGGTCACCAAAACATCTTCTGCCATAGGAACCAGAAAGGGGCCAACCCGTGACGCAGTTCGCGCTGTTTTAGATGCTGGGGTGGCCAACAAATGCAAAGCCAGGTCTTGGATTCGCTCTGGAGCCGAGAATTCTTGGCGCAGGGAATATGATGGAGACAGAGCTGTGTCTCTCCAACGCCAAGGAGCAGAGCTGGGAGAATGGCAGAAGCCACCACATCTGAATCCCAGATTCCAAGCCCCCTGAAGGTTGAGGAGCGTTTGGACCGGGGCGGGTTATTGGGGGGGGGGGCTACTTCTGGCCCAAGCCCGGGCTGAGATGTGGCACACAAGGGGGGGGGAGGGCATTTAGTTTCGGGGTGTTGGCTTGGGAGAAGCCCAGGGGACAAAGGGAATTGGGGGCGGGACCCACATCCCTGGCGACGTGAAATAATCCAGGCCCCTCTCTCCGTGAGGAGCTGCCCCAAGAGCCCCCCCCTCTCCATAGGACCCTAGGCGGGAAGCCTCGGAATTGCCGCCCGCGGGCGCCCCCCTCCCTTCCCCGCTGGCAGCATTGTCCCCGGCAGCCTCCTCTCCCTGCCTGTGCGTCAAGCCCAACCTGCCAGCGGGACAAGCTGCAACAACCTCGCCGCCTCCCCACCCTGCCCTGCTGGGCTGCCCCACGGCCCGGGCAGGGCTTTATATGCCGCCTGCCTGGCGCGGCGCCGCAGCTTTCGCTTCCAGCTCCCCTGGCTGCAGCCGCCTGGGTCCAGCGTCCAGCCCCCGCCCCTCTCCCGGCCGGGTCCGCTCCGGCTGAGCCGCGGCCCCCCCTGCAGCTGATCCAGCCCCGCGCAACTGCACCGATTCAACAAGATGGCGGGATCCGTGGTGGAGCGGGAGGCGCTGGTGAGTGGCCCGTCTCCTGCCCGCCGCCCTTGGCACCGAGCGGCCGGGCGCCAGGCACCGAGGAGCGGGTCTCCAGCGCACCTGGGCGCAGCCCCAGCGCGGGCTGCAGCAGAGCCGGGGGCTGGTGCCGCAAAGCCGCCGGGAATGGGGCTGGCTGCGGGTTAGGGGAGCGCTGTGGCCAGGCAGGGTCTGGGCTCTGAAGGAGGGAGGGGGCCGCCCACCGCCGTGTGCGGGGCCTTTAGTCCGCCCTGTCCCCAGGTGGCGGGGCCAGGTCGCGGCGGGCGAATGCGTCTGCAGGCAGCGGCTGGGTACGGCGCGGGGCGGAGGGCAGCCTGTGTGCACCGCTCCGTGTCGCGTGTGAATGGTGCCCCGCTTGCCGGGAAGTTCAGAGACTCGCCGTCGGGGAGCAGGAGCCCCCCGCTTTGTTTTGCAAGGGAGCTCGGAACATGCACCGTCCTGAGGAGGTGACTGGCAATGAAATGGGCAGGCTGCAGAGCCCGCCCCAAGCGGCTACTTGCTGCAGACCTTCCCACTCGCGGGCAAGCTGGGGAATGCAGGCACAGGGGGAGCCGTGGTTTCTCTGTCTCACTTGGTGTTTTGTTTTGTCTTTAGAAAATAGAGGACGGGCATTTAAACAACTCCTTGGGCTCCCCAGTGCAAGCAGATCTCTATTTTCCACGGCTGGTAAATGTTTTTTTGACTTGCTTACCTCCCCCTATAATTGTGTTTGTGGCCTGGATTTGACCCAGTCTTTCCAGCTGGAGGCCGCCTCCCTCTGATTCCCTCCTGTTCTTTTTCCAGATCGTCCCATTTTGTGGACACATCAGAGGAGGAATGAGGCCAGGAAAGAAGATCTTAATTATGGGCATGGTGGATCTCAACCCCGAGAGGTAATAACACAGAGGCAGATCTGGCGTCTTGCTGGCAGGGCTGCTCCAGTCATGTCTGCATTTTTCCCAGCAAACAGCTCTATGAAAATACTACGTTCCCACGACAAGAATTTGCCCAAAAAACATCCATCATTTCTGAAGACGGCTATTTTTATCAGCGATTATAAACAGAGAGCGCTGATTTCTCCTTTGACCCATAGAAGGGGCATTTCTTAAAAGTGTCCTTGTTTTCCACCATTTCACTTGCAGTAAAGAGATCACAGTTTAGAGAATAAATATAAGAGCTGAGTGTAGGTTGCATCATGGTCCCTTTCTCAGCTTTTGGGACTAGCTGTTTCCCATTCCCAGTTCCGAGTTGCTTGCTGAATGGAATTAGAAATCAGGCGTGCTGCAGTTTGGATTTGTTTGTCTTTCTTGATAAGTGAGAGCAGTTTTATTCCTGTTTCAGCTTTGACATCAGTCTGACATGTGGGGAATCGGAGGATCCTCGTGCGGATGTAGCCATTGAACTGAAAGCTGTATTTACAGACAAACAGTTCCTCAGAAACTCTTGTGTATCTGGCGAATGGGGTGAAGAACAATCATCAATTCCTTACTTTCCATTTATTCCAGACCAGCCATTTAAGGTGAGTACCAACAACAGAGCAATATACGTTGTATCTGGCTGGCATGACTTGATTTGTTAGTGCGGCACGTATTTGTGTGCATGTTCAGAAATGACATTAAGGCACAAGAATTTATTCTGTTGAGATAATGACTAACAGACCTAGAGGCATTAAAGTATGGGTCAGAAGTTGTGTGGATTCATACATATGCTGGTATTTGCAGATAGAGAATATTTTCCCATATAGGCTATACAACAGTGGTGGGCAACTTGTGGCCTGTGGGCTGCACACTTTCTGTCTGCCCCCCTCCCGCATGCACCTCGTGCGCACTGGAGCCCCACGCTTCCTACTCCTCCCTCTTCCTCCTAGCACTTTTGGAGTGCCATGAATCCGCTGATTCACGCTCTGTCCTCACTCCTCCCCCTCCCTCTCAGAGTTTGAACACTTTGAATCAGCTGTTTACAGCTATTCATGCTCTGGGAGGGAGGGGGAAGAGTAAGAAGTATGGGGCCCAATCAATGCACAAGAGGTGTGTGGGGGAGGGGAGCAGAAAGGGGGTGCGTGGACCGCAGGTTGCCCATCTCTTGTCATGCAGCCCGCTGAGATGAAGGAAAGCCGCTCATGTGGCCCACTCAGTAGTCTTGGTTGGCCATCACTGCTACAAATATCAGCCTTCTACCAGCTGTCAAACCCTCCTAATCCATCCTGCCCCTAAGACAGGGGTGTTTTTCTCGCTCCTAATCACTTTTTAAAATCACCCCTCTGTAAATAAGTGAAGATAATTAGTAGATTCTTCTGCCAATTCAATTCAAGTGAGAGAAAAAAAGACCAGTTACCATCTTAGGGTTGTCCACGGCAGTGTGGAAGCTGAACAAATGCTTTCATGACAAAGGCCTATTTGTGATTATATGCAATTGGTCAATGGTACCTATTATCAGTTAAATTCTACCCTTGGATACTTGCATACAACACCCATTAAAATCAAAGGAAAAGGAGCACGAGGATCTGAAAGTAGCATTTAGACCCATGTCAGTCATATTCTGGTTTAGTAGTTGGAAATAACTGGATTTACTCTGGATCAGATTACATCGTCTTAGCAAGGATCCCCTTTCAGAAGGGAGTCTCTCCAGGGATCTGTGATGGCTGGGATCGTATGTACACGCTATGTGCCTTGAGCAATCTCACATCTCTGCTTCCTGGCAATATGGCTCTGACAGTGCTTAGTTACCAGAGACCCCCACTGACTGCAGCTAGATTAGGGAGTCCCTGAGTAGTCCTCATGGGCAAGGCTGTGCATAATAAGGATACAGCCCCAGACTTCATCAACTTTTCAAGAAGTCTCCATGGGGCTGTAGGGGAAGATAATGTGCATCCTTCCCTGACCTCAGGCGCACCCAATATTGTACCATCCTCTACCTGCTCCTGCCTAGCCAGTCCCTAATCTCTCTCCTATTATGAATTTCAACACCCAGAGAGTCTTAGGGAGGGGCAGTGCTGTGGAGGCAACTTCCCTTCTTATCTTGCCCAGGCGGGAATAGTAATCCACACGTGATTTTGGAGGCATGAGCTATCCCTCCTTAGTTACATGTAACTACTGCCAATATTTGAAACTGGAAACACTCACTGGAACTCCAGTGTGCAGAGCAATAGGACTGGGATCCAATATGCTTCTGATCTACTTCGCAGAGATCTAGGAGAGTAATGGAATGCAGCATTTGGCCTCTACCCTCATTGGTCCATGGAACTTGAGTAATAAAAAGGCCAACAGTTATCATGTAAAGTAGTGGCTTTCAGACTTTAGGTCACGACCCAGTACTCGGTTGTGGAATGTTGGGCACTGGGTCTCGTTGCTGCAGGGGGATCAGGTGATCGGTGGGGGGTGCTAAGGCAGCTACCTGTCTGTCCTGGTACCACAAACTGCGCTGTGCCCCAGAAGCAGCCAGCAATAGGGCCAGTTCCTAGGTGGGAGGAGGGGAGTTCCCCTGTCGTGAGCACTAGCTCAGCACTCCTATTAGCTGGGAACCTGCTGCTGGCTGCTTCTGGGGTGCAGCATGGTCTGCGGTGCCAGGAGAGGCAGGAAGCTGCCTTAGCACCCCCACTGCTGACCAGGAGCCACTCAACATAAGTCCCTCCCGCCCTACCATAGACCCCTGCAAAGCCAGAGCCCCCTCTTATGCCCCAAAGTGCTCATACTTTTCTCCCCTCCCCTCAGAGCTCACACTCTAATCAGATTATGGTGGGTCTTGGGCATCAACAATTTTTAACTGGGTCATGAGAAAAAAAAATTGAAAACCACTGATGTAAAGTGACGTTTGTGCCCTGTGATGGTCAAGATCGTTAAGACCAAAGCAGACTGTGAAGAACTTCAAAAAGATCTCACAAAACTAAGTGATTGGGCAACTTAATGAAATTTAATGTGAATAAATGTAAAGTAATGCACATTGGAAAAAATAACCCCATCTATACGTACAATATGATGGGGGGCTAATTTAGCTACAACTAATCAGGAAAGAGATCTTGGAGTTATCATGGATAGATGTCCACACTGTGTGCAGCAGCAGTCAAAAAAGCAAACAGGATGTTAGGAATCATTAAAGGGATAGAGAATAAGACGGAGACTATCTTATTGCCCTTATATAAATCCATGGTACACCCACATCTTGAATACTGCGTACAGATGTGGTCTCCTCATCTCAAAAAAGATATACTGGCTTAGAAAAGGTTCAGAGAAGGGCAACTAAAATGATTAGGGGTTTGGAATGGGTCCCATATGAGGAGAGATTAAAGAGACTAGAACTTTTCAGCTTGGAAAAGAGGAGGCTAGTATATAAAATCATGTGGTGTGGAGAAAGTGAATAAGAAAAAGTTATTTACTTGTTCCCATAATATAAGAACTAGGGGCCACCAAATGAAATTAATGGGCAGCAGGTTTAAAACAAATAAAAGGAAGTTCTTCACACAACGCATCGTCAACCTGTGGAACTCCTTGCCTGAGGAGGTTGTGAAGGCTAGGACTAAAAAGGGTTTAAAAGAAAACTAGATATATTCATGGAGGTTAAGTCCATTAATGGTTATTAGCCAGGATGGGTAAGGAATGGTGTCCCTTGCCTCTGTTTGTCAGAGGGTGGAGATAGTGTGATCATTACCTGTTCAGTTCACTCCCTCTGGGGCTCTTGACATTGACCACTGTTGGCAGACAGGATGCTGGGCTGGGTGGACCTTTGGTCTGACCCAGTATGGCCGTTCTTACGTGAAACGAAGCAGCCCCCGTTATACTGTGAACCCGGTTCACCATTTTTTATTTTTTACAGGTTGAGATACTTTGTGAGCACCCACGGTTTAGAATATTTGTGGACGGACATCAGCTTTTTGATTTTTACCATCGTGTTGAAACGTTGTCAGCAATTGACACAATAAAGATAAATGGAGATCTTCAACTTACTAAGCTTGGCTGACCTGGTGAAACCTGTAGATTCCCAACTGGCTCAGGTGCCATCTTCTGTCTGGAAGATCAGTGACGGCTGCATTTGGACACAGCTATTATAGGCAAGCTTCACTGTTTCTTTCCTGTGTGCAGTAAAGAATATGTTGATGAGTTGAACTGATATTTATCCGAATGAAGAAAGCTGTTGACTTATAGACACTGAGCCATTTTTCTCCAAACAGAATAGCCCCTCCATGCAAGATAATCAAATTAGAATGACAAGTCTGTAAATCTCTCCAAATCCGTAAGTTGCAGCAGCTATTAACCTTCTCACAGAAAGGCAATTTCTGGAACAAGTGCTAAAACCAGCTATTGATCTGTAATTACAACAATCCTTTTGCAAATATAATTTCTGCACTGAAGTGGATTAGTATAGCACACTAGAAGGCCAAATGCTAAACCCCTTATCCAGGGCCTGATCCTGTCTCGTTTCAATCCATGGCAAAACTCCTCTTGACTTCAGTGGGTCGTAACTCATGATCAGTCTTTTAGTTGAGCACAGTTCTTACTGATTTCTGTGACTTTTGTCGAATAAAGGGGCAGATCCTCAGCTGATGTAAATCAGCATAGTTCCATTAACTTCAGTGGAATTAGGCTGACTTATGCCAGTGGAGGAGTTGGCCCAAGGTCATGCAAAAACTGAATAAGGGCTTCAGGATTTGGCCTGTATATTTTAGCCAGGGTATTTGCATAGAATGTAGATTGTTACGAGTTTTTGCACAATAGAATGGTATACAGTTCTTGACGCTTACCCATAGTTTGTTTATTTATACTCCTTGCTGTATGTAATCTTAGTAAAAATGAACAATGTTGCTGACACTTTAAGAACAGCAAAGTATGTGCATTTTGAATGTACAAATGTCTTGGGTTCTTTGGGTAATTTAAAATATCATTATTGAAGCACTATCTGTGTCTTGCGGAATGGTCAGTTACATGCTATAATTGTGCCCTCTAGACCCAGAAAGGGAGGGGATCTTCTCATGTATTCACTATAGATGTTTGTTTTAGCTAGAAATGTTAAGTCTGAGCTAAAGCGATTTTTTTTAACTTATATAGAAAGTTTCTAGGTTTAGTAGTGCTTTCTGAAATTTAGCCTGCAGAATTTAATTTTGTTCTGTTCCTGAAAGGCTAGTGCCCATTATAATAAGGGGAAAATTTTCTGCTCACATTCAAGAGCAGAATTTGGTCTTTGATATTAAAATTTAAAATAGTGTGGACAGCCAAATCATTAGCACTTAAAAATCAGCTATTGCACATGAGTAAATTTTTTTCCAAATAACTTTTTAAATATTAGCTATAGCTCTCTAAACACTGTAACCTCTCTACACTATGAATGAACACAGTAACTTTTCATAGTTTCTTTAGGACTCAATACATTTTTTCTTTGGATGTATGCATAAATGGACTAGAACAACAAGTCATTTGGGGATGTTCTAGTCCGTGTAATAAACGTTTGACAATTTTTAAGACATGTATTTTAAAAGCTTTTTAGTAGCACAACATTTTTTTTAAAAAAGGAAGAAAAATTTCTGAGCTATGTTAAACTTATAGTAAAGATCTTGTTTAAGCCAACCAAAAGTGGAACATCCAGAGTTAAGGACACAACACTAGTTGTCCATCAGTTCATTTTGCCCTCACTTTGAGCTAATCTGACTCTCGGTCAGGAAGGCAGTGAGCTAAGATCCCAACTATGGCCCTGACCCAAAACTTATTAAAGTCAGTAGGAGTCCTTTTGTTGACTTCAGTGACCATAGGATGAGACCCCATATGAGCTAAAAACCGAGGTCTGATTCATAACTTGCACAAATGTAAATGAAAAGTAACTCTGTTAAAGGCTATGCGTTTACTAGTGCAAGTGAGATCAGGACTGGGCCCCTAGCCATATAGTGCAAGTTGAAGATGGAGTTTTAGCCTTAACTTTGAATTTCTGAGATTCCTAACAAACCTCCCCCCTCCCCCAATTTAAACCAGAGCCTAAATGTTATTTTCAGGGTGACTTTTTTTTTCTTTCTGGTGTGTGACTTTATATGTAAATTGGACTGTGTACTGCAGGTTGATTCTCGATATGAAATGTTCATGTCTTGCTTTGTTTTTTATCAGTTTTACATGATACATAAGTATTGAAATGACTGTGTCATTTTCAAATGTGTTAAGAATGCTGGCTGTGGTTCAGTACAAAAATATATTCTTAAAAATAAAATCTTAGGAAAAGAAGGTTTTACATGAAACCTCTGGATTATTCTCCAGCGTTGAAACGGTTTATAGTTCCAAGGTACATGCAGGGAGAAGATGAATCATGCTTAGGAAGATGTTAGGATAATCCAGCATTTTCTCAATCTTGACCACTTAGGGGCAGTCTCTAAACCTTTGTGCTACATCACCAGCAGAAACCAGTCATAATGCTCATTTAATTGGCCTATCGTCAAAAAAAGAACAATCTGAGGATAGCATAGAACCTGTGTAGATGCTCTTATGCCGCTTTTCCTCCCCATTGTTTATACAACTGGGAACAAGAGACTTGGTTGGGTTGCCACGATGCTAAGCTGATCTCTGTTTTCAACAGACTGTTTGCAGCTGGTATAAGTTATAGCAGCCCCCAGACTGCTGTAACCCTGCACTAGTGCTGTACAGACTAGCAGCAAGATGAGAGGCCAAAGGTGAACTTTAAACACATGCTCCTGACTGGTGCTTTGCAAGAATCAGCAGACCCCATGATGTGGCCCGTCCAATTATCCCACCCTTTAGGTGGTTCTTTGTGCTATACCAGCTCTTTATAAGTTACTGTTTTATGGCTCTGAACGTCATTCAGGTCCCTTGTTACAACATACAGAACTTTTCTGTTGAAGGAAAAGACTAGTAGGGCCTGATTCTAGTCTTGCTTAATTTAATTCCATTGACTTCAATAGCCATTCTCCTAGTTTACAATGTATGGGCCTGCTTCTGAACTCATACCAGAGGGAAGATCACAAATATTGATAATATGTTTTGACGAAACATAGCATAAAGATCTGCAGACTTTGATGACAAAAACCTGCAGAAGGTCCCAGTTACAGCTTCCTGCCTGTTAGACTGTTTGATAGATTCTTGGAAGCCTTTGCCTCCCCACCACCACCACATGGGCAGTTCCAGGGTGTAAAGAATCAAACAAGACTGAAAATGGAATGTAATAAAGGGCCAGATTCTGATTTCGCATACGCTGGATTTATACCAGCTAATTCCAGTGAAGAGCTACTCTTAGCTAATTGATGTGTTATGAAAATCAGACAAGAATCAGGCCATACTGTTCAAAAGCTTCAGAGCCCAATACATCAACAGCCTCTTATGTGGTGTCATAGGAAAAAAACAGTGCCTGTTAGAGATGGGACTGTCTGCATTTGTGTTTCCTTAGAATTTGGAGGTTCTTCAGCTCTGCGAGTTGTGATTAAACCTGTCTCTAATTTTAGTCCATTGATGTGCTGGATGATCTAGTATACAGCCTCTGTGGGCATGGCTCTCAAAGCACGTCCCAGTGGGACCAAGTTTTCCAAAGAGTTCCACTACCATCAGCTTATATTGTTCTCAGTAGGAGCTTTTGGGTGCTGAGTTGACCTGTTGGGGCAAGCAGATTAATAATCTGCTTGAGAGACATTTCTCTGTAATTTATTTTATAAATTTCCACCTGTTGCCGTCAGTTGTTAGGGTGAGAGGAATCCACTATTGAATGAATAAACCCTATGTGATTAAACACCAATAGGAGTGGATGGCATCCTCTTAACTAGTATAGCTTTAAAATCCATAGTGTTACTTTCGGAATCGGCAGTGTTAAAACCTAACCGGACTTCATTGCTATATTTTAAATCCAAGAATGCTGCCTACTCAGAAACAAGAGCCTTGAAATACTTCAGCATTATGTAGAGAGTTTTTCTGAAAATACTTCAGACATACTTTTTCTCTGCTAAACTGTTTAAAATGTTACCAAATGTCTTCTTTTGCTATGTCACAGTTAAAGATATTTGCACTAAACCAGAAGAACATTTTATTCTCGCATTGTATAAGTGAACCTCCAGATTATGTGTGAGATGTTAAATTTCCTCTTTTCTCCTTAGCCAGCCTGTGAAAAATACACAGTGTCACTAACACAGTTCAGTGTAAAGTCTGCTTGAAGCAAGCAACTTGTGTGCGGACTATTTTGAACATACTGCATGGGACGTGTACAAGTGCTGCTCAGCTTGGAAACTAAAGTGAGAGATTCACCATTGCTATGCCAGTTTTATGTAACTCAATAACGCCACTGAGATCAATGCTGAAATGAAGCTGGTACCACTGAGTGTAGAGGCAGGCCCAAAGATTTTGTTGATTACCCTTACTGTGTAGGAGAATGTGTGTGTGTGGGGGGGGGGATGAAATTTTATCTTCCATTATTTAAAATTAGGCAAAAGGAAGAAATGAGAGCTATGTAGTCATTGCACTAGCTTTCTAATGGCACAGTGGCAGTCTACTGTATTGCAAAGCTAACAAGAGTGTGAGCTCCAAGACTGAGTTTAAGTTCTTTATTACAGCCAGCCAAAGCATAAGACACTGAGTTCAGCTGAGTTGTCTGAGAGGTATGTTTGCTGTAATTCATGCATCTTGCCCGCAAGCTGAAGACAGCTTGGTTAGTTAAGTTAGGAAGATCTGACTTGACTTAAATTCCTAGCTTCCTTTTTTTGGAACAGGGACCGAAGGTAAATTATAAGGGAGGGGAACAAAGCATGGTAGCCATGCTATTGCAGTATTCTGTAATGCTGACAATCATATGGTACATGTGACATAGGCCTGTAGCTGCTCTGTGCATGGGTCTCCCATTGTAATCCAGGGATAAACCATGTGCCAAATGGCTGCAGGAGCAGGCCCGTAGTGCATGGTACCTGAATCATTTTGGTCAGTGACACTGACTTTTCTATACAGAGAACTGCAGCACCATAGGGCCTGCTTCTGCTCTCTCAGATAAAAATCAAGGGACATTTTGCTGAAATCATTAGTATTTCATCATTGTAAGTGACCTCAGACTCTGGCTCATAGTGCAAATTCTGACCTTGGCTATGTGTGCTGAGCTCCTTAAAACACATGAACTAGCTCCTCAGCTGGTGTATACATAGGCATGACTTTAATAAAGCTTTACCAATTACACCAGTTGAGGACCTGGCCCTGTAAGTCAATTTGCATACACGCATCTCAAGGCAGAATGTAGGTATCTCCTCCTCCCACTGCTTTTTAAAGAGCACAGATATTTCAGACTCTAATTTCCTGAGACAAACTACATTCTAGCAATGAATTCCCTGTTTTTGTTTTTTTTCATAATTAGGAAGATTACTCCTTGGTGAGAGGTGTATATTTTTCTGCTTGGTTAAACTGTTTTCAGTGATGTGTTTGAAAATTGGGCTGTGCAACTTGTGCAATTGTGTGATGTGTTAAAGAAAAGGTTTAGATTCCAAGCTTAGCTACACAGTTAATTAGAAAAGTTGTATCATAACTTGGTCCAACCCAAATGGGAAAAAAAGTGGAAGACATACTTTGTTTTGCTTTGATACACCCTCTGAGCTCCTCCCAATTAATATAATTAGGGGTTGTCTGCTTTATGACAATCAGCAAGGTGTGCAACATCAAAATAACACTCCTGCATTTACAGGCAGTCCCCGGATTATGTACAAGATAGGGACTGTAGGTTTGTTCTTAAGTTGAATTTGTATGTAAGTCGGAACTGGTACATATTGTAGGGGAAACTCTAGCCAAACATTTCTCCAGAGCTCAGTTTTATTCTCCCACACCTCAGTCCTTTATCCTCAATCTGAGGTGTCCACTGAGAAAAGCTGCTCCGCGTCTCCCTGGTCTGCTGGGGGGAAGCAGCTAGTGCGGGGTTGCCCCACCCCGTTTGTAAGTAGGGATCCGATGCAAGTCAGATCCATGTAACCCGGGGACTACCTGTATTCTCTAATTTCTACTGCTAGATCTCTTGGAGCTGTCTCACAGTACACTGCTGCATTATACTTCTTTTGAAGTCAATGACAACATTCTTTTTTTACTTTGGTGACAATAGGTCCAAAGGAAAGAAGATTTTTCTATCTTCTGTGTTGCAGTCCTATTATTCTGATATGAAACATACGAATTTTGTGCATCAGTTTATAGGTGTAGTTTATTCTTCTAAATTTACTTTAAACTATGAGTAGGGGACTATTTCTTGCCAGCAGTACGTATTTGAATAGAACCATTAGAAAGCACAGCCTTCCCATTCTGCAGTAATAGTGGATTGGAGACTAAAGCAGCAGGCAGCTCTATGTAAATTACAATCAGATTTTAAAAAGGAGTATGCATGAAATAATCTGGCAATAATATGTATTGTTCACCACAAATATATTTTTATCTGTTGTGCCAATTTGATAATGAACTTTTAATAAGAATAAAACATGAAACTGTTATCTCGTGGTGTCATTTACTTGGATGGTTTATTCTAATTACACATGCTCTTCATTTTGGTCAAAAGTAATCCCCTGAATATTTTCTAGAGGTGTGTTTTTCCAACTCTTCCCCTGATATCCATAGCAATGTGGATTTCTCAAATAGAACTTGGTCCAGATTGCAGCTTTGATAACTGCTTGGGTGAAATGATGTTTTTGGTTCAAATGCATCATCTTGAACAGTCAGGTAACACTCTTAAGGGCAAATCCTATCGCCATATTAATGCAAAATTCTGATTGATATTGAGTAATGTAAGATGATCATGACTCAACTCTTAATGTCAGGACAACTGTTTTTTCGCTGTGGGGGCATGTCTAGACTATGTTTTACTTTTGAAAAGATATGCAAATGTGGTGGGAATTTGCATATCTTTTTTCGATCGCTTTTTCAAAAGTTTTTTTTGAAAAAGCAAGCAGACTTGAAAAAAGGGTTTCTTTTTTCTAAAAGAACCAGGTCTAAAGAACCTTCTTCCTCAAAAATTGAGGTTTACGGGTTCTTTCAAAAAAGGGTTTAGTTTTTTTTTTTCAAAAGAACCGCATCTAGACTGCTTGCTTTAAAAAAAAAAAAAAATCGAAAAAAAATGTAGTCTAGACATGCCCTGGATGTTTGGCTGTAAGATTTAGAGGGCTGACTCTCTAAAGTATCATACAAAGGAGCAGTCCTTACTCCGTGTAGTCCCATGAATTTCACTAGGAATACTTCCATGCCTAAGGATTACTCTTTAAATTATGGAATCTGTTCAGTGCT